TCAACAATGATTTAAGATATAAACATGATGCAAGTTCATGGATAAGTGACCCCATCTGTCCAAAAGGAAGAAAATGATATAACAGTAAAGATCTATAAGGGCAAACAAAGGTTATGGATTGACGGAAAGGGACTGCTTTAGTTATGTTTGGTTGTTATGATTTCAAAGTGGTCTTTATGGGTTCATGGAAATTAAGCATGATATATTTTAAGTGGTGCTTTTTTAAGTGGACTAGTATGTTTTCATGGCTAATTTGCATTTTTATTCTTAATCATGAGCACTTTGCGTAGAAAGTCTGCTTCTCCAATTTGTCTGGCCTCATATATGAAATTAATCTTCTGAAGAAAGATCTCACGTGAATAATCAATCTGGTTATTGGTGTCCCTAAATCCATCCAACTGGGAATGAATATGGCAAAACAGAAAATTGGCATGTGCTCTGTGAGCGAGCGAGCGAGAGAGGAAGGGGGGGAGGGAGGGAGAGAGAGAGAGAGAGAGGGGGAGGGAGGGAGGGAGGGAGAGAGAGAGAGAGTGAGAGGGAGAGAGTGGTAGGGGGAGAGGGAGCGGGGGGGAGAGAGAGAGAGAGAGAGGGGGGGGGGGGGGTTAGGGAGAGAGAGAGAGAGAGAGATGCTCATGCCTGATTTTGTATTCCTAAGTTGCCAAAGCTTTCATACCTAAAATTTGAACTTGTTAGTAAGAATTTGTTGTACTTTGGTTTAGTAAATTGTTAATTGACTGCAGAAACGTAAGAGATTAGATAGCTCAGAAGGAAATGGCTCGCATGTTTGCTCTCTCACTGTAAGTGACATACGATTGAGTACTGAAGGAGCTGGCGGAATGATGTATGATACCTCTCTGTCCCCATTGAAGGATTTCCACAATGTTGAAAGACTGCAGCATGGGAAATCACTTGAGGTAAGGGGTTCACTGACTTTGAGTTCTTGTTATTGGATCAAGGGAGATGATTGTATGTTCTGTACGTCTTGCATTTTCTTTTATACTGTACATGCGATGTTTTGCTGGTAGGTAAACCTGCATCTGGAAGTTTGAGTATTACCCATATTCTGAATTTCAATTGGGTCTCAACTTCTGTGATAGTGTGTGGCTTATTTCTGGTTTGTTGCTGATTTTGGGAGGAAATAGTAATAGAAAAGGAGACTTTCCGTTTCCTGAGAATCTGTACATGGACATATTCTGCTCTGAGGTATGGTAGAGAATTTGTATGCTAAATGAAATTGTACGTTCGGATGGTGCCTCATTGATGAAATTCTGTTTAATTAAAAAACAAAATGAGAGAGGAACCAGCTGGGAAAGTGAGGAAGGCGGGGAGGGGGGAAATTGGTGTAAACATGGTGAAGGTTTTCTCCTATTACTATGAGGATAGATTCACTTGTTAAGTACTTTGAAGAACAATTGATGTCATTTCAATCTTACCAACTCAACTGTCCTAGTTTGTTCAAGGAAAAAAGCTGATGTGGAAAATGATTGTCCTGTTCCCTTTTTAAGGTAAGCTTTCACTTTTTTGAAAGTCCTTACGAGACGCTGGGAATTCCAGCAACAGAATAAATTGCACGATCTGTTAACAGAGGCTTCCTCTTTTATACAAAATTACTTTTTCTTTATCAAGTAGTGAAATAACGTTGCAGTTTCTGTTCAGCTTCTCCTGTCAATAGTTACCGGGTATTAAAGCGAAATCTGTGAAAAGCAGGTTCACCCCCTCTTCAGATATGTCATACTCGACAGCAAATAGATTAGATAGGTTTTGTATAGGTGCTAGTGATATTTGCTGTTCCTTAGATTATCTGAACTTATGTTTGTGTTGCTTTTCTCTGTGTATGGAATTTTTTTAACACATCTTCTTCACGCTGTTCGGGACTAGAGATGCCTGATAAGCAACAAATTCAATGAATGCGTTGGATGTTAGACTTTTGTGTCTGAGGTCACATTAAAGATCAGATTGAGACATTGATAAATCTTCTTCGATAGTGTGGTGCAGCCTCTTTTAGGCTTATTGGCAGTTTTGACAGTTTTAGCACTTCCTTTGTGCAATTTCAGGGAGACTCCAATGCGGTTGATTTTGTTCTCCTTTCTCGGCCACTGAACAGGGAAACAGACCCTGGAGTTTCTGATTTGCCCTCACTCTTTTCTCATCATGAGTGTCACTGCAGGCAAGATTCAGTCTAAGATTGACAACTTTGGTTTAACACTACCAAATGATATCTGATCTCTTCCTCTTTTATTTTAACTTCAAATCATTGTTGTTCTTCAGTGTCTCTAGCGCAAGTCCGATATCATGGGTAGTGGAAGGGCCCCAGCTAATACATCACAACTTCTCTACCTCTTTCTGTGAAGTCACCTTGAAGATGACTCTATACAACTCAGCGGATGCTGCTGCATCTGTGCGCATCAATACTTTGGAATCAAGCCGGAATGATGGTGCCCAATCAAGCGATGCAAGTACACTTGCTTCTGGTAATCAAGCAGGTTGGCACAATGTATCATTGGATAGTGATATTAAAGTCACATCTGATGTCAGTGGGATCCGAATGAAGCCACTATCCTCAGACAGTGTGTCGCCATATGTCTGGACCGGTTCAAGCTCAACAAAAGTCCAGCTTCCACCATTGTCAACACTAGGAATTCCTCTCCAAATTTGCGTATTTTCTCCCGGGACCTACGATCTGTCAAATTATATTTTGCAGTGGAGTCTAGTGCTCCCTGATGGTCAAGGAAATGATGGGAAAACACGACCATCTTCAGGAACTTGTCAAGGATATACGTATTATCTCACTGTTCTTCAGTCTACATAAGATCTTGGTTCAGCAGCTTTGGCTTAATCTAAAGGGAGCTTCTCAGATTCACAATTTGTAAGTTACGCACTTAATTTCTTCTTGTATATCTATTACCAGCAGAAGAAGCTCCATTAGCGTAGTGAAGGTAGAGATGAATTCTTTCTTAGCCCGTAAAGTAATAAGAACAATTTATTTAGATTTGTCTTCATACTGGATCTTAGCAATAGTAACCAAAGCATCTATAGCAGATAGGAATTGTACAAAGCACATTTACCGGGACAATTTTTGAGTAGATGTGATACCAATCTTGTTGTTCTTGAATTGTTTATCCTTCAAATCAACCGGCGAACATTGAAGACACTTCCGATGATTAAGCATTCATCATGAACTTGAAGCAACGACAAGGGCAGTATATGTGACATCTGGTTTTTGTATTTGCGGAAAGCTCATTCGACAAGTGCAGCAGTGATCTGCTTTGTTTAATTTCATGACGGTGATCTCTGTAAAAGATTACTTCCAGCAATGTGCTTTGAAGGCGAATGCATTTTCTCGATCTACGGAAGATTAAAGTCGTATTTGTTCTTTTATTCTTTGACACGCATTTGTATTACTTTAACTTTGTTTATGCGGTTGTTCCTCGCACCCACTTTTGTTTTTACTTACTTGAACATAGTGATGTTTCAGCGCCTTGTCGTTCAATTTTTGTTTAATATCTTCCGAGAAAATTCTTCCAAGTATGAAGCTTCGAATGACCTGCACAGGACATTGCTTAGATATGTGGTACATATGGACAGAGAACTGAAGTCTTTTTAGTCCATCTGGATATGTGTTTGACCTCTTTTCTTGCATGATTCAAGTTCACTTAGACGCATCTGTTTCGTGGAAAATATGACATTTATGGAAAATATTTTCTAGGAAGTTGTTTTTCAAAAAAATGATAATATATTATGATGTGTGATTGAGCTTTGAAAATGAATTGGAATATATTTTCCGTTAATAAGGAAAATATCATTCGGGCACTAGTGATTTGTGCATGGGTAGCGAAGGAACACGGCTTAGGCACCGGGTTCTCAAGCTTGGATCCTTGACTCCTGGGCAAGAGCACGGCATTTGTCTTGGATCCATCAAACCAAGCCCAAGAACTCGAAGACCGGGGTTGCGCTCGTGCCTGGCTCTCTAGCACCCCGGCCTAGGTCTATAGAGGTTGGCCTAGGTGCCCGAGCAGAGGCACCAGTGTCCCGAGCGTGGTGGTTGGGGTCTCGAGCCCGGCCTAGATGGAATTTGGGCCAAGGCGCTCCCAGGCTTAGGAACGAGTGTTGGGTTCTTGTACCAAGGGTCGAGTTGTATAGGTCTAAAGGTCAAAAATGATTTTTGAATTTTTAAAGAGGAAATCACTTTTTGAATTTAAGCTATGGTAGGAAAACCTTATTCGTTGATTTGGACAATATTTTCCGTTGACTCATTTTCATAAACAATTCAAACGCTAAAAAATAAGGAAAATATTTTCCTCGAAACAAACGGAAGCTTCATTTGTTAGGAGGGAAGTGAATTATTTTAAAAATATTTTTCTAATTATTCATTTTCCGTTGACTATCGACAACAATTTATGTCTAAATATTTAAATTTTCGCAGAAGATTAATGGAAAATATTTTTATTATCGACAATAATTTATGTTTAAACATTTTGGCGGATGATGAAAATATTATCCATTTATTCATTTTTGTAAGCAATACAAGCGTCTTTTACGAAAATATTTTCCAACTCAATTCATTTTCCGCGCAAACTAAAAATAATCGCTTATATTACTTAAAATAATTAGTCAATCAAAAACATCATCGTTACCGATAACAGTTTATGTCTAAACACCTTTGTTGACGATCATATTATTTTCCGTTCATTCATTTTTATAAGCGATATAAATAATTATTTTAAAAAAATAATTTCTAATTATTCATTTTCGACCAACCAAACGGAGCCTTGCGTCGTTCCCGATTTCTTTTGAATCCCAGAGAGGATTGTGTGTGGGTTGTTGTATGCGAGCGAACAACACCAATGAGAATTCTAGAAGCATATGCTATGCAGTCAACATTCCTACGGTCATAAAAAACCAATTTCTTAAGGTTTATCCGGCTTGCTAGTCCACGAAAACATCTCGTTCAAAATGAACTCATTTCGTTGCGCTTTCATATGACGAAAGTCATCCATCTCCTTCAGTTTCACTATTATTATTCGTACATGAAAATGACTCGGTCGAGGGAAGACCCTCTTAGCCTGACGAGGAGAAGTTTGACGAGGCAAGCTCGTTGGACCATCTCCCTCTCTCATTCAAGCAGCCATTCGAGAAATTATCAACACGTTCATTCCTGATTAAAGAGAGGGGAGGGAAACCCTTCGCTCGATCATCATCGTCTACCGCAGCTCGCGAATCTTTGCCGACATGAACGACCTCTTACCCGGCTCCTTCTCTCGCTCCCGCGACGATGGCTGCGGCGACTTCCACACCATCGAGCTGAGCTCCGCCGGCAGGGGTGGGGGCGGCGCGGGCATCAACCTCGACAAGTTCTTCGAGGATGCCGAGTCGATCAAGGACGAGCTCAAGGAGCTGGAGGCCCTCCACCAGCGGCTCCAGTCTTCCCACGAGCAGAGCAAGACGCTGCACAACGCGAGGGCCGTGAAGGACCTGAGGTCCCGCATGGACTCCGACGTGGCCGCCGCCCTGAAGAAGGCGAAGGTGGTGAAGGTGAGGCTCGAGGCCCTCGAGCGGGCCAACGCCGCGAACCGGAACCTCCCTGGGTGCGGGCCGGGGTCGTCGTCGGACCGGACGAGGACGTCGGTGGTGAACGGGCTGAGGAAGAAGTTGAAGGACAGCATGGAGGGGTTCAGCAAGCTGAGGGAGAAGATATCGTCGGAGTACAAGGAGACGGTGAAGCGGAGGTATTTCACGGTCACCGGAGAGAACCCGGACGAGAGGACGGTGGATCTTCTGATCTCTACTGGTGAGTTAATCATTCCATGCATGCTTATCGTCTCGGCTTTGTCCTAATATGAAACCATATGAATGCTTGGAATCACATGTGTCTCGATTCATCGGTCAAGTCAATATCTTCCATCTTTCTGTGCTTCTAATTTACAACCTCGCCAGTGGCCAGCCAGGTCCACCTCACCGGCCCTCGCCTCTCGCCGGTCGCCAATTTCTGACGACTGGTTAGAGGAAGAAAGGAAGGGAAAAAAAAATGAAAATTATTAAATTATTATTTAAAAATATCCATGTTAGCGTCGGCCTCGCCACGTAGAACGGCCGACTTTCATGTCGGCGATTTCCAGCAAAATTGGTCGTATGGATTGAATTGACAAAAATGCAAAATGTTTATGACTCAATTGATAAAAAACAGAGAATTTAGGACTAAATTAATATAATTATAATATAGTTTAGGACCGTTTTGGTAATTCTTCCCATGATACATCACTTTCACGGTTTAGGAATTCATTTGCACAAAAAACTACCAGGAAGATGACAGCCGAGCGAATAGCAACGAAGAGTCGATCCGGAAAATTTATTATTTGACTTTTTGATGATAACCGTAGGAATCCGGGGTTGTTGAGAGCTTTATTTAAGTATTATAGAAGAAGTATTGGTTGGAGGACACGTGTTGCACGTGAACATTTAAATCTAATTTTAATCATGTTTATTATTTAGTCAAGCTGCTAAACTTAGCTATATCCATATGTCTAAACTACAGCTCCTCACGAGAAAATATTTTGTTTCGGTGTTGCATGTTGTTATGTTGGATAGGGTCGAAACCGAACGAGGGTTTGGTAATCAAACACGTCTTTGATTATCGATTGAGCATGACATTTCTGACCAAAACACATGAGCCACATATAAACACTTGTTTATCCTCTCTGTGTTTCTTCATGTCATGCGCCTTTTCCATTTGTCTACATAGGACTGATTCTGAGACTGTGAAAATTGACAAACACATAATATCTTGAACATATTCTGAAGTAGAAGTTCTTGAGAAAAATTATAATGAATGAGGTTTCATTTATTTCATGAAAAAATATATTTCGCCGGCCTTGACTAAGCTCGTCCCTTGCCTATGGATGGTCGCCAACCGTCACCATGGCCGACCACCGGCCGAGGAAGAAGAAAAAATTAAAAAAATAATAAAAAGAAGAAAAATTAAAAAATTGGACTTTTGGTAATTTTCGGGAGGGAAATCAAATCAGAACTTTCATATAAAATGGTGAAAAATATTTTATAGTAGATTTTCACGATTCAGCCAAATACCGAAAAATAGTCATTTTCTCAAAAAATGACTTTCTGAAAAATATTTTTTAGAAATATCACATTTTCTACGAAACAAATGGAGTTTTAGTGTTATTACTCGTGCCCGTCCGATGACTTCACGATCTTTTCCCTCTCTCTGACCTCGAAGAATCGAAAATGTGGCAGGTGAGAGCGAGACATTCTTGCAGAAAGCGATCCAGGAACAAGGCCGTGGCAGGGTCCTCGACACCATCCAAGAGATCCAGGAGAGGCACGACGCGGTGAAGGACATGGAGAGGAACCTCAAGGAGCTGCACCAGGTCTTCCTGGACATGGCCGTCCTGGTCCAGTCCCAGGGCGACCAGCTGGACGACATCGAGAGCCAGGTCGCGAGGGCCAACTCGCTCGTGCACCAGGGGGCCGGGCACCTCCAGGAGGCCCGGTGGTACCAGAAGAACTCCCGCAAGTGGACTTGCTTCGGCATAACCCTCGTGCTGCTCATCATCTTGCTGATCGTGCTCTTCATCGTGAAGCCTTGGAACTAGCAGCAGTGCCGCCGCGACACGACGGAGAGGACCACGGGCGTTTGGCCGTCTTTTTTCGGAGTCTTGTTTTGATTGTTCCTAGCGTGGAGACACATGTGAATATGGCGTGGACGTTGCTTTTGGTTCTGAACATAGTAATTCTTTATGTATTTTCGCTTAGATCAATAAATCTCACTGGTTAGAACATTTGTGTTACACAAGTTGTTAGTTCCTAAATCATGGGGGGGACTCCTTGTCTTCCATGAAATTGTCACAAGATGCACAACTATAACATTTGCCTGCCTAAGAGAAGAGAGGCTACAGTTATTGGGGAAAAGAATTGGGCATTAGAAATGACCGCCAAAGACTGGCTTTGAATTTGAGGGGAAAACTTTGTGTGACATTTAAGTAAGTGACACATGATATGGTATTGCATGTCAATTTTATGGATAATTGATTTCTTTAATGTACATTCAAATTAAGATCGCTTGATTGGATACACAATATTTGCATCATCAGGCCATGTTAGTTAAATGAAAGATTGGAGAATGATTTCCTGCATGCAACCTGCACTACAAATTTTCCCGTTTGGGTAATGTCGAAATTAGTGGCTATTGTTCCGTCTGGTCTTTAAACCTTGCCCAATTCGTTAGTTCTGCTCTTTAAATCGGACAGATTTTGTTATTCTAGTCAATTTATCCCCTGCATCTATTGTAGCGATGCAATTCAATTTTGGATCCACCTTTGCTTATGTGGTTACTTACGAGTAAAATGATGTCGACGAAATGAACAAATGAAAAAAGAGGAGCAAAAAACCAGGCGGGTGTCTCGGCGAGGGCGGTCTATCCTTGTGCGGCCACCAACGAGGGCGATCCCCCATACTCGACTCGGTGGTGGTGCGGTAACTCCAAATCTGGGTGAGGGCAAGTAGGGGTGCGCATGGAAGGCATTCCGGAATAAAAATTCTGTTCCGGAATGCATTCCGAAACAGAATGACGTTTGTTAAAAAATTTCCGGAATGGATTCTGGAGCGATTTTTGCATTCTGGAATAAAAATGCGTTTGTTAAAAATACTGGATTCCAGAATACATTCTTGATTCCAGAATGCATTTTTTATTCCGGAATAAGTTTTTGGCAAGAAAAAGAGAAGCTACTTTTTGTAGCTTCTTGATTCCGGAATGCATTTTCCTTATTTTCTCACAATTTTTGTTTCAGAAAATGCATAAAAATTGAAAAATTCTAGAAAAATTCATAAAAATTTCCAGAAAATAAAAAAAAGTCAGATTTCGGGAAAATATAAAATTTGGTGAATTTTATATTTTAAATAAAAAAAATCAAAAATTTCAAAACTTCACATAATAGCTTAAAACACATGTGGCCACCCACTTTGAGTGAAATTTAAATTTTTTGAGGTGCCCAAAAAAAATCAAAAATTTCAAAACTTCACAAAATGGCTTAAAATACATGTGGCCACCTACTTTGAGTGAAATTTAAATTTTTTGAGGTGCCCAAAAAAAAGAAAAATAATAAAATAATAAAAATTTTCAAAACTTCACAAAATGGCTTAAAATACCTGTGGCCACCCACTTTGAGTGAAATTTAAATTTTTTGAGGTGCCCAAAAAAATAATAAAAAATAAAAAATTTCAAAACTTCACAAAATGGCTTAGAATATCTGTAGCCACCCACTTTAAGTAAAATTTAAATTTTTTGAGGTGCCCAAAAAAATAAAAAATTCAAAACTTCACAAAATGGCTTAGAATACCTGTGGCCACCCACTTTGAGCGAAATTTAAATTTTTTTAGGTGCCCAAAAAAAATTTTAAAAAATCAAAAATTTCAAAACTTTACAGAATGGCTTATAATACATGTAGCCACCCACTTTGAGTAAAATTTAAATTTTTTTAGGTGCAAAAAAAATTAACAAATCAAAACAGATTTCTGTTCCAGAAATCAATTTTTGGAGCAGAATTAGTCATGTTTTACCAAACAGATTTCTCCTCCAGAAATCAATTTCTGGCAAGGATTTGATTTCTGGAGCAGAATGGTTACCATTCGCATCCTAGGTCATCACGGCGAAGGACAACCAGCAACGCCCCATCTACCACCAGTGTGTCATGATTTTCATTAAAATTTCACTAGCGTTCATAACCACGCCAAGCGTCAACAAAGGTTGGTCCAGTGACTATGTTGAATTGCCATGTCATGTATCAACCTGACCAAATTGATGAGAAGGAGGAAATCAGTTCGATTGGAAGAGTGAAAGGACCGAATTGAACAAAATTAAACTTCAAGGATTGAGTTGAATATTGATCGATTGTAAAATAATTAATTGCTATCGCTTCTCAAAATTCATAAAGCATATATGCAACCGCGATATAATTATTAATTATGATATTATCGACAGCTCAATTGAAATTTGAGAACAATAAACAAAAGCCTTAAAAAAAGGGTTAATACCACGAAAAACCCTAAACTGGTACAGTTGTGACAATTTTACCCCAAACTATTTTTTGACCACAAAAAACCCCAAACTGGTACACTTATGACAAATTTACCCCGAACTATTTTTTTGACTACCAAAAACCCCGAACTGGTATACTTGTGACAATTTTACCCCAACTAAATTTTTAATATTATTTTTTGAATTCTTTTATTAATTTTCTTTTCTTTTCTTTTCTTTTTTTCCTTAATATTCTTCATCTTCAACCTTTGGCCGGTCGCCGAGGTGGAAGCCGGCGAGGTTGGCCCCGCTGGCCGCTGGCGAGGCTCGACCTCGCCGGCGCTAGGCGAGGCTTGAACTCGCCGGCCACTAGCGAGGTTGGCCTTGCCAGCGGCCGGCGGGGCCAAGCCCTCGCCAGATCTGGCGAGGCTCGACCTCGCCGGCGATGGGCGAGGTCGAGCCTCAACGGCGAGGGCTCGACCCTGTCGGCCGCTGGCGACGTCGGCCTCACCCAGCAACGGTGAGGTCGGCCTCGCCAGATCTGGCGAGGGCTCGGCCCCGCCGGCGAGCCCTCGCCAGCGACCGGCGAGTTCCAGCCTTGCCAGCGGTTGACGGGGCCAATTTCGCCGGCTTCCGCCTCTGGCCGGTCGCCGGTCCAGCGACTGACTAGAAATTGAAAATGAAGAAGATTAAGTAAAAAAAGAAAAGAAAAGAAAAGAAAAAATAAAAAAATTCGAAAAAAAAAATTATTATTAAAAAATTAGTTGGGGTAAAATTGTCACAAGTATACCAGTTCGGGATTTTTGGTGGTCAAAAAAATTGTTCGGGGTAAATTTGTCACAAGTGTACCAGTTTAGGATTTTTTGTGGTAAAAAAAATAATTTAGAGTAAAATTATCACAACTGTACCAGTTTAGGATTTTTCGTGGTATTAACCCTTAAAAAAAAACCAACAGACGAAAACATCAACAGACTTCGCTTCTAATCAGCTTTCAGTGGTCAAGCATACCGTCTCGCTTCTTCTCAGCTCCGGCTATGGCGACTCTGCGGATGATAGGCAAGTCCAACTGGTTCTTTCTTTCTTCTTCTTCTTCTTCCCGAAATGTCGATTTCAATTCATTCTGTTGCTTTCCACCGCGTAAGTGAAGACATCCTCACTCTCTTCTCGTTCTTTCTGGCCTTCGAAAGCAGATATTGCCGTCAACTTCACAGGTCAGGCATTTCATCGAACACTTGTTGGGTCGCGGCCGAAATTGCCGGCAGTCGATTCTTTTCGTAACCCATCTATGGAATGGGTTACCCTTTTTTGTTTCTGTTTCGTAAACTGAGCGGGAAAGAAAAATTCGATGTGTAGATGGCATGTTTAAAGGAATCTACAACGGGAAGCAATGCCATTTGGGCGATATTGCCGCGGTGCTGAGCAGAGCCTGGAGTGCCGGTGTCGATCGGATCATCGTAAGTATATTGCTCGCCTATCCCGAGATGAATTTGGATATGTTGGCAACCAGAGTTCCATTCTGTGTGGGTACTGTCCATTAGGGGAGATTGGGTTAGATGGAAGGTTCTTGGCAATGGTGGAGGTTATTGACCCAGTTTAGTGTAATTGATGTTCTCTCAGACCTCAAGGATGTAAACGACGATGGAGTTGGGAAGGATGTACCATCTGGAGTTTGGATAGCTCTCTCTTATTGACACTTTATTGGGAAAGTATCCCATTGAATAGTCGAGCAAGAAGTTTGGCGAGTGATTTCCTATGTGGTTTATGGCAAAGGGAAGACCTAGTAGAGGTCAACATAGCTTCTTACTTGTGAGGCTACTTTCAACAAAATCTTAAGCATTGTAACTTGCAAAATGTTGTCTTCCTAATTTGCACGAAAAATAAATTGTTTAGCACCCTGTGTAATCTTCTTTCCTTGGATAAATGACTATAACTCTTTATAACCAATGATTTAGACGCTTTCATAGGTTGGATCTACATGTCATATGGGTGAATTTGGTGACTTCAGGAGCTCATGCTAGTTTAGAGCTTGTAGGGTTGCGTGTTCTAAAGGGGAAAGAGGATTGTTCTCATTGCTCTTTTTAGGTTAGTATCGTGGCCTTGGAGAGGATTGTTTGTTGGAAATAGTTTAGGTTCGGGTCATCAGTACTTGACCCACATGGTTCCATGAACTGGACTTTGGACTGATTATGCTGTACAGTACATAATACTTATTAAATCATCGGCACAGATTTCTGCCTCTATAAAATGTTCATCTTCTTTTCTATCAGATAATCGAGAAGTTATAAAATGGCTGTAACTTATCATTGTTGCAGGTGACTGGTGGGTCACTTGAGGAATCAAAGGAAGCTCTTGCAATAGCAGAAACAGATGGTCTGTAAGCGTTATTGAAAAGACAAAATTACATTTTGCATTTGATATATGAAAGCTCATTATTTATACCCAAGGACTTAGAAACTTGCAACTCCGTACAGAAAGTATCTTCCGCCTTTTTTCACCTTGATTCTATGCTTTGATGGATGTTGGGCTTACTTATTTGATATGCTAATAATGTCAGGGAGGCTTTTTTGCACTGTTGGAGTACATCCAACTAGATGCAGGGTATATGCTATCCGTTAAATTTTTTTTGGTTCTCATTTCCAGAATATCTTGTTGAAAAGTTCTGACCTTAGGCATGTTGATTTCTCTTCAGGAATTTGAAGAGAGTGGAGATCCAGAAAAGCATTATCAGTCTCTTCTATCGTTGGCTAGAGAAGGCATACAGAAAGGAAAAGTAAGCCCAATTTTTCATAATATTTTAGTAAAGTGAACCGATGATGCTTTATCACATTTCTTAACACTGCAGATGCCTTTTATGATGGCTTTTCAAATAAGCAAAAAGTGCAAAAATTTTCTGCAAAAATATGACACTTTCGTTTTTCTCATTGAATGGAGAACTTTGATAAAATACAGAACTGCCAACTTTGATCGGATTATAGTCAGTTGCCTTGTTATGTAGTCCTTCACTTTCTGCTCATACGATTCTCAGTTTACTGTAAACTATTTAGTGGAATAATGATGTCCTAGTGTCCTAGATATATCCACTTGCTATTCAACGTCATTATCTTGATTTTAGAGAACACTATAGTTTCATTTTCTACTAGCTAATCTGTGTGCTGATGTAAAGGTTGTGGCAATCGGTGAATGTGGATTGGACTATGACAGGCTTCATTTTTGCCCTTCCGAGATTCAAAAGAAGTACGTAGGCAGTGAGGTGAAAATTTTGTTTTGTTTTATATTTTTGCCCGTCTCTTATTGCAAGGGATCCCTTTAAATCGATAAACCGATTCTTCGTAAATATCTTTCTCAAAAATAGGTACTTTGAGAAGCAGTTTGAATTGGCATGTGCTACTAAGCTTCCTATGTTTCTCCATATGCGCGCAGCTACTGATGACTTCTGTGAAATCATGGAGAGAAACAAGGACAGGTGCGATCCTGGACGCTTAGTGAACTGGACCTGTTTTGCGATTTCTGCATGTGCCATTGGCAGTGTTTTCTGTCTTCAGTTGGATACGCTTTATGTTTCCCATCTTAATGCCTTTTTTTTTTTTTATCAGAATCTTAATGCCTTTTATGTTCCAATGATGGGATATGAATTTTCTTCTCTTTTTTATGTTCAAATGCAATTTTCTTTTTTCTGTTTTTATGTGCAAATACTAAGTAAGTGGACAATAACAACTTATGAGCCACAGAAATAGCAAGTGTCTGACTTAATGATCGTGGACTTTGATTGACCATGTCTATCTTTTGTACGATGAAATCACATATCTAATAAGAGTATGTAATCAACAATTCTCAGTGTTAGTCTGAAAATTGATTCTTTTCTCCTCCTTACCTTGACTTGGGTAATCAAAACAGTGTAAAGAGATGGAAAAATGAATAGGGGGCATTTTGTCCACTCATAGTTTCCTTCAGGTGTGGGTTCTTTGTTAAAGTCATTTTTTGATTTAAGCACTGAAATTGTGGAATCAATGATTGGAAGTTCTAAATCAGGGCAATAATAGCGTGATTCCCTAAGATGCAACTGCAGCTTCAGAAAACTGAATGTTTATTTCAATTTTAGGATCAGATGCATCCGACAAGGAGATTGCAGCTTCTGCTTTTTTACCATCTTTCTAGAAACCCCGCCAACCCATAAAAATAAAAATAACAAAAAGTTCACTTGGTCTTGATTTCACATGCTGCCGCATCATTCTTCTCTTTCTGTTCTCTTATCTGAATTTTTTAGGACTGCATCAATTATGGCAAGAGCATGCTGATGTAAAGAAGAGGGTGCTTCTAAAAACCAGAAAAGTTTAACTTTCATTTTATGGACAAGGGTTGCGTACTTTTTGGTCTTGCATAAGATAGGCATGAAAGGGATGTAGCCTGATGCTTTATTTTCAGCTGATGATCAAACTTCTTCCCCTTGCTTTTTGCTTGTGATTTAGATTCTGAGCTCCAACTTTAGAATATACACTATCACAATCAGGGGACATTCTTTATCAGCTTGGCAATTTTTAGTTTTTCTTTTAAACTTGACAGAATTGTATATACGTAAGGTTGTTTATCATCACTTCTCTTTTCTCTATGCTAAGCGAAATTAGGGGCATTTTTTCAATTATTGTATGTCATTCCTGTAAATATCTGTTTAAGGTTATTTAGTGGTGATAGGCCTGGTATCTTATCTATTAGTTCTTTCTTCGGAAGAATAATTTTTTTATATATGATGTTTCTGTCTTCACAGCAGGTTTACAGCTGGGGTGGCACATTCATTTACAGGGAGTGCCGAAGATCGTGATAAGCTTCTTTCCTTCAGTAATATCTTTATAGGTGAATATAGTTTTTACCCCATCCTAGACTATCTTTCTCCATGAACACAACTTCCTGTGCACATCTCCGTGAATATTTAGCTAATTATTTTGTTTGAGGTGGATATATCCAATTATTTATTTGGTCAACACTTCACCAACCATACTTTTCATATCTTGACATAGTTGGAGGGGATAAGGACACCACAAGTGCCATAATTTTTGTACATCGCTCACTCGAGTGCCATAACTTTTTTTTGACCACTTGAATGCCATGATTCTAAAAAAACGTTCACTTGAGTGCTATAACTTTCAACCAATTATTTGAGTGCCATAAGTTTTAAAAACGTTCACCAGGTGTCGATAATTCGACATAGGATAACACTTGTAGTAAACATTTTAAAAATGTTATGGCACCCAATTGATTGATCGAAATGTTATATGACACTCAAGTGATTGACACACAAATTATGGCACTAAACTGATCGGAAAAAAATTATGGCACTCAAGTGAGCGCCGTACAAATATTATGGCACTTGTAGTGTCATTTTTCCTAGTTAGAGATGTAAAAGACAACAAAACGAAAAAAAGAAACAAGGGCTAGAACTGAGAAGACTTGAAGTGAGAACAGAAAAAATTCTAGGGTTTTGAGAAACTAATAATATTGAGAAGAAGCAAACTAATGACAGAGGAACTTAAAGACCTATATATTAGTGTTGCAGATGTAACATTATCTTTACTTTTTATTGGGCATATATAACGCCCAATCTCAGCCATAGGACTCATTAAAAGTCACATACCTATCACATGACCACATATATACCTTGTGAGATTTTGGTGAGACCACGCCAACTATTCTAAAAGCTTAAGCTGTTAGATGAAGCCGTGGTTTAATATGTAATTACTCTAACACTCCCCCTTATGTTTATTCTGGTCTTTTTGCCTAGCACTAAGCGTGGACATATTTAATTGGGGAGGCAATTGGGGCCTGGAAAGATTTGAACTCTAAAACCTCCGGCTCTGATATCATGTGAGATTTTGGTGGGATCACCGCCAACTGTTCTAAAAGCTTAAGCTATTAGATGAAAGCGTGGTTTAATATGTAATTACTCTAACATACTTAATAACATAAAAAAAATACTAAATAAAGGAAAGATAGACTTAAACTGCTAATATAGATTTATGCTTCTGCATCAATTGTGAAGATTCACATAAGTTGCAATCATCTAAACAGATGGTACCTTGGCAATCTGGCTCAAAGTAGCCTCTAAAAATGATAAGTTACCACTCTTTCTATCCTTATCCAAGAAGCACGAGATGGAAATATATGATGTACAATACATCTAAAGAATGGTATGTTCAAAACAAGGGAGATGAACATCAAATTTTGTGGACCAATCAACTGGACAACCTTTCACTGTAATCATCTTGTCTATTTATAACATATTCTGTTTGGCAGTGCTTTAGACTTCCAATGGCTTTCTGGTATAACATTTCACACTGCACTTTTCTTTTTTATTGGACACAGATTGGTGATACCGGTGCCTTTTCATGTATTTAGGGTGGGTGGGGTTGATGTTGTTGATCTTGATTTACTGAGAGAAAGGTCGAAGTGGAAATGTAGGTTATAGATTAGATCTGTTGCTTCTAGGGCTAGGATAGCCGTGCGACGGATGATTATTTCTGGTTTCTGATGTGCTTACTCGGTAGCAATGTAAAAGTTGAAAGGATTTATAGTTCTAAAAGTCCATTTCTTTGTTGTTTACCAAATGAAGTATGATAGGTATACTAAGTTTTTGTTGAAGGTTGAATGGCATCAGCAAAAGGATAAATTGTTGGTCTTTCATAGCATTCTTTTTTCCCTTTTCTTTTTGTAAGGTTATTAACAGTTAAAAATGCCGTTACGTACAATGACCATGTTGGCCCCATTTGCAAATGGAGCGAGTCTTTACCCAATCAAATTTAAGGCAAAGTATGCCTTTCAGGACTTAGGAAAAAAAGAGTACACAGCTAGATGCTAGCTGAAGTCATGAAACCTGGTCAAATATCTATAACCATTTCTGTGACAGGTTTTTGTGGGGACTTAGATACTACATATTAATACAGCAACCACTCTACTGATTGGTATAATCTCCACCAAATGTCTATATTATGTTCTACATGCTAGAACTGTCCATTTTCTTTAATAACGACGACATTTCTCCTGGGAGACGTGATTTAGCAGTATTATATGTTCTCTTCTCAGTTTTGGTTTCCGATGCCTAACTAGGTGTCAACGGTTGCTCTCTGAAGACTGCTGAGAATCTTGATGTTGTTCGGGGGATTCGCCTTGAAAGAATGATGATTGAGACAGATTCTCCATATTGTGAAATAAAGAGCACTCATGCTGGCATCAGCTACGTTAAGACTCTGTGGCCTTCAAAAAAGAAAGAGAAATATGATCCGGACAGCATTATTAAAGGGCGGAATGAACCTTGCTTAGTTCGGTGAGTGTTTTTGGTTTAATGTGTTGCTATATGCTGTGTTAAACTTATATTGGTCATTTGTAATTTAGAGTGGCAGAAAAAGAGTCACAAAATGAAATCTCTATTATTCATTTATCGTTGGTTGTGAGATAAACTCAAATGCTTGAAGATTGATCCTGGCAGAGCGCAACACTGCAAGTACCATATGTATTTGGTCTGTACATCTTTGAACAATTTCTTCATAGCTAGGCTTGACAAAATGATTAATGAAGCATGAAAGCTATTGTGTGCATTGTATTATGTGCTTCCTGAAAGATTCTTGTCTATTAAAGGAAGAAAGACACAATTGAAGCTGACCCAGTAAATTCCTGTATGATTATTGTCTGTGAAAGAAAGACTCACAGTGTCAGCTACTGAAAATTTGTGAACTCCTGGTAATATGCGTGTGCGCCTTTGGACTAACAAAGAGACAATTTTCCCTTGACATAGTAATTTTCATTCGATATTTGATCAGTAAAACCATTCATTGTGTGGCACTTTATTGACATAAAAATTTAATTCTTTGAATAAGGTCACAGAGCTTCCAATGGTTTATTCCCTGTGTCTGCTGTTTGTAGACTTGATATATTGGTTCCTGCCCTATTTTAATGGGTAGTTATACCCTGTTTACTGATGCAGTTTCAGTTTTTTTTCTCGTGTTATGGTTCTTTTGCTCGAGCTATGGAGAGTTGTTGTGCCCCACCCTGACTCCCCCACCTCTCCTTTTCCAATTGGTGGTTGGTGCATGGTGCCTTTTAGTTAGAAATCATAGAACTGCTCATTTTAGTCAGAGTGTTCTTGCAACTGAGTAGGAATAAGCAGAAATGAAGAACGAATTAAAAAAGTCCGCTTGGAATGTACCCCCAACTAAATTCTGTTCTGAGATACATTGTATATCATGTGTTATGACTATTGCTTTAGCTTCCTTTTCTTTGGTCTAGAACTATAACTTTAATGATATTACCGTAGTTGAAGCAAAGAATGTTTGCTTCCTATGATTTAATCTTTTTATATCTTCACAATTTTTAATAATCTGTCTTTTGTCTTACTAATTCTCAGTCAAGTTCTGGAGGTGGTTGCCGGTTGCAAAGGTATCGATGACATAGATCAGCTGAGCAAGACGTTGTATCATAACACCTGCAGGTATTTCGGTTTGTCATTTTGGATGACGTATATTTTGTTCTGGCTTATTCAATATGCTTCAATGAAAGTCCCTGCTTTCTACTTTGGTGGATCGTCAACTCTTTTTTTCCCCCTCCTTTTCTGAGAACGAAATTCATTCCATACTGCCTCCATTCAAAATCATTTTAAAACTGGAGCGTCCACCTGTTCTGACTATAGGACTAGGAGTTGCATTGTGGAAGCTCACACCTTGTAGCTGCCTATTCTTGATACTGAACTGTGTCGTATCTTGTCCAGAACAGTTTCATCTTCTAAATTTTCATGAAGTTTTGCCCGTGCAATTTCTGCAGAGTTTTCTTTCCTCAAGATCTGGACACCACGGCAGATGCTCTTCTTACTGGCAGTTTGAAACCTGCTGAATGACCTCGAGCATAGATTCGTTGAAGTCTTGCAATTTTCTCCCCATACAGTGAACATTGCTGCTTCTTCCGACGTGATGTCTGAATATATCCATTCAAGAAATGCATGCCAGTGCTAATGAAAGCCATCATGTCGGATTAGTTATTTGTCATTCACTCCTAAACTGAATCTGATGAGTTTTCTCTCCAGATATGATGCAATTTAGTTATATTTGACGGCACTGGGAAAATATATCAGAATAACGAAACAGAGGTTTAAACCGTAGTTTAATTCTTCCTCTATTGCTCAATTTTGGGATGTTGAAATTCTCAGAACGTCTGTTTCTGTTTCGGTCCCGATTTGCTAATCTGAGTGAAGAGAATGGATCCGATCAAACATAGATAAAAGAAGGGAAGATTGACCGACTAATATTCTTTGTCTAGGTGTCTTACTAGAGAAATGAACAAAAAAGCATATCAGAATAACGAAACAGAGGTTTAAACCGTAGTTTAATTCTTCCTCTATTGCTCAATTTTGGGATGTTGAAATTCTCAGAACGTCTGTTTCTGTTTCGGTCCGATTTGCTAATTTGAGTGAAGAGAATGGATCCGATCAAACATAGATAAAAGAAGGGAAGATTGACCGACTAATATTCTTTGTCTAGGTGACTTACTAGAGAAATGAACAAAAAAGTCTGAAACTTTGGTTTGTACTTAGATGTTTCCGCAGTTATGGTGTTTGCGACTTTCCAAACAAAAATGTTTGTTTTTGATAGAATGAGCTAAAGAAATTCCTTGAAATGCAACCACAAAAACAGCTTCAACAATCTGTGTTCGAAATCGGCTTAGTGATTTTACTTGAGTTTCATATCTGCCTCCATTAACACTCCGTGCAAAATCGCCTTAGTGACGTGCCGTTGTCATGTCATTGCTTTAATTTTTCCCCAAATTTCAGATTCAAGAAGAAGGCTTTTGTAGATGAATTTCCGCGTTTGCCCAAATGATGTCTTCTTGGATCTGAAATATGGGTAAAAATTAGAGCAATTAGGGTTGACCTTCTTCAATTGATCTTACTTTTATTAGAGTTCTCCTTCTATCTCGCTCACGGATCTTTGATTTTGCGCTCAGTGTCAACCTCTCATGTCCAGGAGTCTTCCATCTCTCGCGATCGGTGAGTTCGCGCTCGGGAGTTTTTCATCTCCTGGTTGTCAAGAGATAACTTGTATAGATGTTTAACGAGAGGCAGATTTGGGACTTAAAAGATTAGTGATTATTTATGAGACAAAAAAAAAAGTTTAGGATAGATTGAGACTGAAGCTAAAGTTTGACGTTTTTTATGGGACAACAAAAGTTTTAAGATAGAATTGGATTAGGCTTAAAGTTGAGGATTTTTTAGGGTATTTTGCATATTTACTTGGTGGAGGAAGCTGTGAACATCCAAGCTCCCATCTACGAGTGATCAGTTCTAGGGTGGGTAGGTTCTAGACCTAAAACCTGAAACTTACCTTATTATAACCGATTCCAATTTTTGGAACCTAGAACTTACCTGTTTGTCCTAGAACCTGTTTTGGAACTTATTTTTCAGATCCAAATTCAGGGTATACCGGAGAATCTGTTTTTCTTTTGTTCTTTTTTTTTGTTTCATTTTTTCCAACAAAATAATATGAGTAGCAATTAAAAAATTCAAAGTTAAAGATTACTAATAAAAATCACTATTCACCAAAAGCAATAATCCATAAGATGAGCAATAAAAATTACAAGCTAAAAACCGATTCTAAAACCGGTCCGGGTGGGTCTTCACTTGGAACCGGGAACCAGACCAGTTTTAACTGGTTTCCAAAATATGGAACCGATTCCCGGATCAGTTCAAATAGAAACTGGTTCTCAAACCTATTTTTCGGATGGTCTGATCCGGATCCTAGGTAAACCCGATCCGATTGCACACCCTTTCTCCCATCCGTTAAAATCAAAAGGCTCAAAACGAGTGTTTGACTGTTGAGAACAATTAGTGAACACTTCCACGCAACTTCTCCCTTAGCCTGAGGAAGAGAAGTTGACGAGGCAAGCTCATCTGACCATCTCTGTCCCTCTGTCTCTCGAGCAGCCATGGGAGAAGAAATCAACTCCTTTCTCTCTCTTCCTCACAACCATTTCGTCCAACATTTCACAATATTATCTCTCATGCAAAGCCTTTCCCAACACGTTCATTCCATACTACACTTTCCTCCCTCTTCCCTCCCGCGAACAAAAGACGGGAGAATCCTTCACCTGATCGTCTTCATTAATCACATCTCACCAGTCTTTTGCAGCACCAATTTTTGAACCCAAAATCTGTCTGTTGCACCATGAGCGACCTCTTGTCTGGCTCCTTCTCTCGCTTCCGCGATAGTGGTGACAGCCACGCCATTGAGGTGAGCTCTTACGCCGGTGGCGGTGGCGCCGGCGTCAACCTCGACAAGTTCTCCGAGGATGCCGAGTCGATCAAGGACGAGCTCAAGGAGATGGAGAGCCTCCACCAGAGGCTCCAATCCTGTCACGAGCATATTCAGACGCTGCACAACGCGAGGGCCGTGAAGGACCTGAGGGCCTGGATGGAATGGGACGTGGGCGAGGCCCTGAAGAAGGCGAAGGCAGTGAAGGTGAGGCTCGAGGCCCTCGAGCGGGCCAACGCCGCGAACCAGAACCTCGCTGGCTGTGGGCCAGGGTCGTCATCGGATCGGACAAGGACGTCGGTGGTGGACGGGCTGGGGAAGAAGTTGAAGGACAACATGGAGGGATTCAACAAGCTGAGGGAGAAGTTATCGTCAGAGTACAAGGAGACGGCGAAGCGGAGGTATTTCGCAGTGACCGGACAGAAGCCGGCCAAAAGGACGGTGGATCTTCTGATTTCTACTGGTGAGTTTTCTTCTTGTTTAAAGAATCATTCCATGCATGTAATGCGATAATCTATGCATGCTTGTAGTGTCAGCTTTGTCCTAATATAGAAACATATCACCCACACACACATATATTTGACAACATAATCTATCGTTTTCACGGTTTAGGAATTCACATATTACATAAGAATTGATGGGTGGAGGACACGTGTCGCGTGCATGTAAATTTGGATCTAATTTTAATCATGTTTATTGTTTAATCAAGCTGCTTCACTTGGTATATCTATATGCTCCTATTTGCATCGTCTTTGTTTCTCCAGCAGACGCATTTACAAGAGAAAAAATGTCTAACCTACAGCTTTATACTAAGAAAGAGAACAACCATCACACACCTACACATCCTAACGATGAATCTAGCATGGAATGCCTAGTCCCGGTCGAATAACTTCGTGATCTTTTCCCTCCTCTGATCCTGAAAAATCGAAAATGTCGCAGGCGAGAGCGAGACGTTCTTACGTAAAGAGATCCAGGAACAAGGCCGAGGCGGGTTTCTTGACACGATCCAAGAGATCCAGGAGAGTGACGACCCGGAGAAGGACATGGAGAGGAACCTCAAGAAATCCCGCCGCCTGTTGTTCCTGATCTTTATTGTCATGGTGCTCATGGCGTTGCTGATCGGGCTCTCAGCAGCAATTTAGCCTTGGATTTAGTAGCGGGGCCACGACACAAGGGCTGCGGCGCAGCTTTTGGTGTCTTTCTCGGAGTCTTGTTTTGATTGTTGCTAGGGTGGATGTTGCTTTTGGTTTTGAAGACAGATATTCTTTGTTGACGCTTGCTAGGTCAATGAATTTCATTGATTAGTTCATCTATGTTACATAAGGTGTTGAGTTCCTAAATCGTGAGGAGGAACTGTCTTCTCAATGTAATTGTCACAAGATGCACATTTGCCTAAAAATGGCACTTTTCCCAAAATGAAAAAAGTGCCGAAAAAGTCCTAAACCTTTTGCATTTGTGCCAATTTATTCCTAAACCTTTTTTTGGTGCCAATTCAGTCCTAAACCTTTTGCATTTGTGCCAATTTAGTCCTAAACCTTTTTTTGGTGTCAATTCAGTCCTAAACCTTTTGCATTGGTGCCAATTCAGTCTTAAACATTTTGTCTTTGTGCCAATTCAGTCCTTCCGGCCAATTTTGGCCGGATTTTGCTGATGTGGACGCCGACCGGCGGGCGGCCAGTCACCGGCGCTGACGTGGATAACTTTAATAATATTTTAATATTTTTTTGATTTTAATATTATATTTTTCTTTTTTTTTCCCCTCCCCTTCTCCAGCCGGTCGCCGGACCGGCGATCGGCGACCGGCCAGAGGGTAGAGGCTGGCGCCGGCGAGGCTCGCCCTCGCCAGCGACAGTGAAGGCGAGCCTCGCCATGGCTGGGCTAGGCCCGACCTGGCTAGATCTGACGAGGTCATGCCAGCCACCGGCGAGGCTCGACCTTGCCACATCCGGCGAGGTCGGGCCTCGCCCAGCCATGGCGAGGCTCGAGCCCTCGCCGGAGGTCGGCCGGCGAGGGCTCGAGCCTCGCCATGGGCGGGCGAGGCCCGACCTCGCCGGCGGGCGGCACGACCTCGCCAAATTTGGCGAGGTCGGGCCTCGCCCAGCCATGGTGAGGCTCGCCTTCGCCGTCGCTGGCGAGGGCGAGCCTCGCCGACGCCGGCCTCTGGCCGGTCGCTGGTCCGGCGACTGGCTGGAGGAGGGGAGGGGAAAAAAAAAAGAAAAGAAAAAAATAATATAAAATTTCAAAAAAATATTAAAATATTATTAAAGTTGTCCACGTCAGCACCGATGACCGACCGCCGGCCGATCGGCGTCCACGTCAACAAAATCCGGCCAAAATTGGTCGGAAGGACTAAATTGGCACAAAGACAAAAGGTTTAGGACTGAATTGGCATCAATGCAAAAGATTTAGGACTGAATTGGCATAAAAAAAAGTTTAGGACTGAATTGGCACCAGTGCAAAAGGTTTAGGACTTTTTTGGCACTTTTCCCAAAATTATTGTATTTGCCTGGGGAGAAGAATTGGCATTAGATTCTTACCAAAAAAAAAAAGAATTGGCATTAGATAATGACTGCTTAAGATTGGCTTTAAATTCGAAGAGAAATCTTTTTGTCTAACACTTATATCGAATGGCATGCGATATAGTATTGCATTTCACTTTTATCGTTATTTGGTTTCTTCAATGTACATGAAAAATAAGATCGCTTAATTGGCTAGACAATATTTTTTAGAGAATTACTATAAAAGTCATAAACATATTGTAATTGTGTCAATTTAATCATAAATCTTTTGCATTTGTGCCAATTCAATCCATATAGCCAATTTTGGCCGCCTAGCGCTAACGTGAACAATTTTTAATAATATTTTAATATTTTTTTAATTTTTTTAATTTTCCTTCTTTCCTTTTTGTCTTTCCTTTCTCTTTCTTTTGTTTTCCTTCCTTGTTCCTCAAGCTGGTCGCTGGACCTTGATGATCGACCAGAGGCGAGGGCCATCGACCAGAGGCGAGGGCCAACGAGGTTTAGGATTGTCTCCACTAGGGCGATCGATCCTTATGCGGCCACTAGCGAGGGCCATCCCCACGCTCGGTGGTGAAGAGCAGCAAATCCAAATCCTAGTAAGGGCAAGTTGGTCGTCGCGGCGAAGGACGAGTGGCAATGCCCCACCTCCCCTCTTGTGTCATGTTTTTTCGGTTTCATACTTCTTAACGTTTCACCAACGCGTGTATCTACGCTAGACGTCAACAAAGGTGGGTCCTATGGCTATGTCGGATTGCCACGTCATATATGAACCGGACCAAATTGATGAAAAGGACGAAATTGGTTCGATTGAAAGAATAAAGGGGACGAATTGAATAAAATTAAACTACAATGATCAAGTTGAAGATTGACCAAATCTAAAATAATTAATTTGTACATCATCGCTTCTCGAAATATCGACCAAGGGAAGCTTTTCTTTTTCCCAAACTTGACCCAAAGCAATTTTGAAGTGAAGTATATGCAGTAGTATATTTTATTTTATTAGTAAGCTTGGTTGTGTATGATCACTAATAATCTTTTGAAGATTGAACTGCAGCATCAACTTATGCCTGATAACTCCGTTCACCGGTCGGGACCAAGCGGCGAATTGAGAACGAGTTTGGAAGGAAGGAGCGCTCCGGTGCTGGAGACATGGCGGAGAATTCATCGAAGGTTGCCTGAATTTCCTCGACATCAAGTTTAACAGAGTCATGATGCACCAAGGGATGTCGATTCTGAACTATCGCCAGTGTCGTCTCTAACTTCAGACGATAAAATCAGTTATAGGGATTGATGGTCCAACTTTAGACATTATTTGAGAAGACATGCAAGAACGATGGACATGGCATTTTGGCATGTAAGAACAGAGTGCGACTGTGTAGCAAAACTCTTACTTACTTGGTGAAGGAAGTTGTGAACATCCAAGCTTCCAGATGCACGCCTTTCTCCCTCAAAACAAATATATTCAGTTAAAGTTTCATTCTCAAAACAAGTGTTCAACTGTCGAGAACAATTAGCGAATACTTTCATATAACTGCTCAACTCCAAAACTAAGCAGGGCCGCTCACAATCAGGCAACATCATAGCAGACTATCCGCGCATATAACTATAGTGTACGTACATCCAAAAATCTTGTAACCTCTAGGGCCATCGAGCTTTATATTCACCATCATCTTTGTATGCCCTGGCACAGAGAACCTGAGTTTTGCAAGTGGTTGAGCTGTAAAGTTACAGGGTTAAGCCTGAGACAAGGATGTCCATAGTCCTCTCCTCCAATTCCTCTCATGCCCGCCTCAGTACTCTACAGGTATTTGGAGGCCAAAACTTGTGAAATTTGCTCAGCCGCTAATGCTGGAAATCAATTCGCTGCTGTCGAGATTGTTCCCAGTGTTTCTGTCCGGAGAAGCAGTAGATGCTCTGTGCTCTGCTAAATTTAATCGTAAGGGCCGTCCTTCCACCTCCTGATTCCCATTATAGCCAAGACAAAAGAAAAAGAAAAACAGTTAGTCAGCAAATATTTAAGGACTAACACTTAGTCCTTAACCATGAAATGTTGAAAAGTAGCATTTACGACACTAAAGTTTATTTTTTTCAACAAGAAAGGAACAATCATACGGTGTCGCTGTTCTTTAGCAATTGCTTGCCAAAAAACCTTATGCAATTATGTTAATTTAAGGTAAATGGTTGCAATATGCGTATGAACAAGCTAACCCTAGTGCATGTTCTCATTTGAACGCCCTATCACTCCTATATTGCTAAAAAAATTAAGTGTCAAACTAAACTCAAATATCTCATGCAAAGCTTTATTAGCCACTATATGAAACTTATAGTTGAAATCAAATTGGCACCGTAATAGGGTACAAACTGTAGCAATCCCTCACATGAATGTGGATTTTCAGTCAGTTCGATGCGTCTTACCACTCCGTTCATGGCATCCAAAGCAGACTCCACGGCCTCTGCAGATTCAAAGGAGATAAATCCAAATCCTCGGGATTTTCCAGAATCACGGTCATATATAACCTTTGCACTCAACAGGCCTGGCTGGTCAGCGAATGCATCTCTGAGACCTTGCGAAGTGAGGCCCCACCCAAGGTTTCCTGCATAGATTTTGTGGGGGCTGTCCACGTAGCCACGGTTGCTATTTCTGATCCTCGGCCCCATTACTTCCCTTTCACCTCCTTTTGGCACTTCGGGGAAGTTTACCTTGACTGTTCTGCCACCAACTTGCTGTTTGAACACAACGAAAAGAAACTCGCATCAATTTTCATCGTCTTCCCACACAATTGTCTCTGTGTCATGGATAATCAACAAAAATGAAAGAAGAAGAAGAAGGAAGCAAACATTGAACCCCACAACACAGTACCATCAGAGCGAAAGCAACACTCAGATAGATGCATACGTTGAAGCGACCTTCACCAGCTACATCGCAAAGATTACTTTGGAAATGCTCCATAAAAAGTTAATACAGGTTAGCTATTAATGCTAATAATAATTGTGAAAGGTGAGCATCTAGCAATATAACAATAAACAACACATGAATTTACACTATGCTCGGCACATTCAGTTTCATAATTTACAAAGCCAATGTAAAAATGGATCAGTCAGCCTAGACTGATTTAATATCCAACAAGTCCTATGTCCAAATTAACACACCGATCGCTGTTGCAAGAAACTTCTAACAATTACATTTGCATTGAGAAAACATCCATGTTACTTCATCTAAAGCAAATGCAGTATATATTGGGCCATTCTTGATGGAAAAGCCGTCTTATTCAGCTACAACAGACTATCTACCTGAGCAGGTTCCAATTCTTCATGAAGTAGTTTACATTAGCTAGCGTTCGACAGAAGGCAAGAAAGGACACATGTGACAAGGCCACAGACAGGGCGACATCTATTTCACAGTTAAGGCCACAATTCAATTCATGCATCAAGAACCACCTTAAGTGAGAATGGTCATGGATTTGGGTGGGGGAGTGCTTACAGATCCATCAAACATCCGAATAGCCTCTTGAGCTTCTTCCACACTCCCCATGGTAACAAACGCGAAGCCCCTGCTCCTATCCGTCACTCGATCATAAACAACCTGCAACGACCCAACCATGAACCCACAAAAAAAGTCAAATTTTCAAGAACCCAGAAACCAAAAATCTTCAAAACATAAACAGACAAGCAAGCAAGCAACAAAGAGCCGAAATGCGATACAAAAGCAGAAGGCGCTACGAACCTCCACGTTTATCACCCGCCCAGCCTCCACAAAAACCTCAGCCAACTGAGAAGAATTCATGGAGTACGGCAAGTTCCCGACGTACAACCTCCCATTTCCGCCCGAAGAACCCGAGACTCTCCCCTCGTCCCCGCTCTCCTCCCCCTCCTCTTCTTCGCTCGAGCTCCCGAGCGGCTCCTCTGCCTCCGCCTCTTCTGGGTCCTCTTCCCCCGATCCGGCGACGCCGTCTTCGGCTTCGAAACCGTCGAGCGCGGCCGAGAGAAGGCGCTGGCGAGGGACGGGGACGAACTTCGGGGACCCGAAGGCGGAGGCCGAGGATTTGAGGGCGAGGAGGAGGTGGAAAGCGGGGGGCTTTGGAGGGAAGTGGGAGGGAAGCGAGACGTGGGGAGCGGCGAAGAAGGGAGCAGGGGAGGGGATCTTGTTGCAGAGCGAGGGGGGAGCAGCCATGGACAACGATGAGGTCGCCATTGAAACGGAGCAACTTGGAAGAAGAAGAAGAAGATGATGATGACGATGAAGAATTCTGAGGATTAGCAGAGATAAGATTTTTCTCTGCAGCGAGGGAGAGAGCGAGCGTGACACTTCGATGGATAAGGCTTTTCATGGACTGATTTTTCATAATTTTATAAATAATTATTTTTTAAATCATTTATTTTCCGTGAAACGAAAAATGATATTCATCTCTATTCACTAATTAAAAAATTAATGATAATTTAGTTTGCTATTGATTGTATTGATTTTATTTCCTTTCCTTTTTTTTCTCGTAAAAGTGAAATGAAATGCTGAAAATTTTAAGTAACGAGTTCTATTTGGGAAGATTCTAATCATCATCAATTATTTTTTTATTAAATGAATTAAGTAATCTTGCCCTTACTAATCAGATTAACTGGACTTTCTTTTAATTTTAATTGAATTATCTCAGTAAGTAAATCCTATTTAAGCTTTATCATGCTTAATCTCAGTAAGTGCCGATAGTATCTCTCTCTCTCTCTCTCTCAATCGGTTGAGGGGTGGAAGTGGAATTCTAGGAGTTTAGCGAGGCTAAGGATGGAAGAAAAAAGAATTCATTAAAATCCCTCAAGTGACCTTTCCAAAGTACTGAAAAGCCGAGAACAGGTAGACTATACTTGCCTTGAGCTTGAATCTAAAAGTTTAGGCATCGAAATTCACACGCTAATGACACAAAACTAAACTGTTTTGAACGTGATCAACGTGTTGCCCAAAATTTTGGCCGAGAAGAGCAGAGCTTGTTACCAACTTCCAAATTAATTTGGTAAACTGTTAGCATAGCTTATAACTTTAGCAAAGTAGTTGATGACATTTCAAGTAACATCGATGATTGTTCTTTTCCCCTCGTTAACTATTCCATGACCGAGACTCATACCAAATCTGATCTTTTTTAAGTATAAATTTTATTCGAGCTTATTCTCGAGAAGCATCGGTAGTCACTGAACGAGTCGTCGGGTAAGTATTCCTCAATTCTCACCCATCAACCATCTAAACAGAACACGCCATAAAGATTGAATTGAGGCCCTAATGTTCCTTCGTATGTTGCCAAAGGATGGACGCACTCGACCTGGATGTCGCTGTGCTCGCTTATGGTTGATAGGAACGTTAGGAATACCCAGTGCTCACGGACGAAGAAGCTGATAAAAAACCTGCCGTCGATCACCGATGCTTTTTACACAGGCAGAAGAATGATCTGAACACATTACTGGACACTAACAGCGATCCCACTTCGCTTGACCAGCTAACACCTTGGCCTGTTCCTCTCAATGCAGATAAAACATAAGCAGTAAGTCTAGGAACATGTCTTATGATGACGTAGAATATCGCAGCAACAATCCTGCAAACTCTCTCTGCTCCCATCATGGTTTTCCTCACTACGGTCGCCTGTCGACTTGGGACTTTAAACAAAGGATCATGCATGTCAGTAGGTGAATATGCACACATGGCTCATCATTCACGTGCCGTCGCGGCTGGCGACTCGGTCGAGTCCAATAGACATGGCATTATAATTGAACTAAGTAAGCTTCGAGGATTGGACAAAGGTTCTCCCAATCCCCGTCCTCCTGTTCCTGGTGTGCAATTAGAGAGCAGTGTTTTGACATTCGCGGACGATACTGATAACGATGAGCAACTAAAACAAACTTTCAATATTACAATACATCACTTCAAGTAGCTCGAAATCCCCACGGTAAGCATCAAGGACTTCAACATCAACGAACGTTAAGTAGTAACAAGACATCAGCAAACACAAACCTAGTCTTCCATTCTCTTAGTAGTTCCATGGGCATGGAAGAGTCAACAAACCCATGTTATTCTAGGTTCTTAGTCATGTTCTTTTAGAGGTGCATTTAGCCAACCAGTACACCAGAGTGACTGGGGACTGACTTAATGCATATGAGCCAAGAATGATTTGCCTATAAAAGAGCAACCAAATGGTGGCTGGAGGACAATCCTTCGCGCCGAAGACCCAATTGCAATAACCATTAAGAGGAACTGCAGCGGAACTTCTGCATTTGGTTGCCAGAGGGAAGTGAGGTCGGGCACGGACCCCACTTCCCCTGCTTTCAGATATTGAGGTTGCGGCGGTTGTCCACCGCCGCAACCCACTTGCTGGGCATGACAATACTATGCGAGGTATCGTTCATGCCAGTGAAAGAGTAGACCGATGGCCGGAGGTGATTGATCGGAAAACGATCAGGTTCTTCCCTCGAGTACATGCTAGTGACTTCTGACCCAGAGAGATTCCCGGCACTGCCATTAGCTTCTTTTGGCAAGCTCAGTGTGCCGCTCTCGGATTGTGAGACCTCAGAACTCTGAGAACCAGTTGGCTGGGGATATTGCCCGCTGCTGTCTTTCTTTGCTTCAGCTCCTCCCTTTCCATTGCTCAAGTTTCTCATGTTCAAGAAACGGCCACCGCAACCCCTTGGTCGGCGCATAGCGTGACGATGACGTGATTCATGCATGTACGGCTGTCAAATGAAACACCACAGAACACTATATCATCAAAAAATTTACGAGTGCTTTTCTTCAAGTTTGGCAAAGGAAAAGTTTGATCGAAGGAATGGCTGGAACAGAACTAAAAGACAAATTTAAAATTTAAAGAGACCATATTAGGGAATGCAACTGATTGACAATCAACTTAAAACACTTAAGCCACACCAACAAAACCAGTCAGCATCAGGCCTCAATAAACACCACGGTTCAAATTAGAATACACTTTTTCGAGTTGAAGTGCTATCAAACTCAACTGAAGGCTGGAAATCATCTTCTAATAAATGCCAAGTTGTACCCCACTTTTAAGATTTAATGAAGTATGTCAGCTGCAGGAAATGGGAATATAACAGCATTGCAGTTACAACTTTTACATTCACCATAATTTGACAAGTTCAGCATCATGCAGAGGTGCCTTTTGTCTTACAGAAAACATGAACGCCAATAATTATGGGGAGCAATTGAAGTGAAAGATCATACCTTACGGACTCTAGTAACTTTATTCTCGAGCACAGCTTTTGCACGAAACTTGCGGCGCCTAATGATCGCGTGGTACTGTTTGGCATTTACAAATATGGGCCCATCATCTGTTGATAAGTTCAGAGGAAGCATCATTCGGCCCTGAAAGTATTGGAAATACATGCAAAGAGGAATGTGATTAAATAATCTGACTTAATATGGCTTCTAGTAAGTTTTTGCCTGGTGAAGATGAATATGATGACATTATTAGATTGAAGTATTTCCAGTGATGGATAAGGCCAGAGGTGCCGAAAGTAAAGTTTCAACCTGTAAAAACCGTGCATTCCCAACGAAGAACGATTCACACATTTACTTAGACAATATGCTGTGCAATTTATGGCAGTCGTCATACTTCAAGATATTGGGCTTGCAAAGGTGAACAAGTAATTAAGATAACTACTGTACGTAAACACACACAACTATAATTAGTCAAGTTCATGAAAGAAGAATTCCAATATGGAAAATGGACAAGCAAGCCTCTCGAACCAGGAGTAAGGAGGAAAAAATCCAGAAAACTATTGATGCAGTTGTTTCATATGAAGCTTCAGCTTGGAAAAAATGTTAATTGAAGTATTTTTGAGAGAGAATGAAGAAAAGTATATATAGTTCAAAATATGGTACGCGATAACATTCACTTATGAAGGATTCAACACATGAGAGGTGATCGATGGTTGGTAACTTGGTATATGTAAAGTTGTTTGTTTATGACCAACAACAGCGAGGGCCGTGAATGGCTTTACCATTAGCTGAATGTCGAAATGGTGGTCGATGGCAGTAACTACTCAATTGGGGATGGCCATTACTTGTCAAGGCAATGTTATGATCACAGGGTGGCAGAGGAGACCTAATTCACCTCAAATATTTTGAGGGTAGTGATCACGGGCCTCTGGCAGTGATTCTAATTGTCCACAAGATAAATCATGGCTTACTGCTAACTGATCAGATTAGTGACCTAGTTAGATGAAGCTGCTGCTTTCCCATCCCGTAAGCAAGTAAAACATTTAAAGTTGGTAATACACTGATATGCCTCTTTACACCAAACAGAAAGAGGAGATAAAAATTTTGCTGGCATAACTGTCTGGTGAACAACCACAGGACTCCCGTTCAAGCCCCTCGCAGCATTAAAAAGTATCGATTAATTTAGACAGAAGGAACAAAGAAATACTAACCGATATTTGTGACCCATAAGGGGAGAATACACCATAACACTGCTCTCCATATGGATATTTTGCGCATATCTGCATTTACCATCCAAGCACACAATATGCATCACTACCTTTAGCTTACATTCCATAAACAGAATAGGAATAGCTAACACTACTGACATCAGATTTATGTCAACAATTGGTTGGGACGAAGACTTACAATCTGCTGACCATACCCTAGATCAACCCGAGCACAGTATTCTGGCAGAGGGGAGATGGCTAGTTGAGATTTCTGGGTATCCGCAGAATTTTTGCAGTCACCTGAATAAGGTAACAAACATCATCAAGTCTGTGGTGATCAAAAAAGGAAAATTACAAAAAGAACTACAAACATCGCTACATTTGTTTAGACTGTGCAGAAGGGGAAAAGAGGATTTTTTTCAGGAGCATATGAAAGTTTATGCGAAAAGGCTTTCTCCTTTTGAAGTGCAACAACCTCATGGAATGTCCCTAGTTGGTGACAATATGTTGAGGTACTCATTCATCGCATAGGCCTTTCTTACCTCATACAACACTACAAGGAAGATTTGGGGAGGAAACATAAAGAACGAGAAAAGGTATGTGGCTATGTCTGCTGCATTCTAAGTTATTAGTACATGTTCAACTACAATCTGGCCTGTTTTCAAGTGAGGATATTTTTGTATTTACATTGTGTCATCCACGCAGGAGGGCGCAATGCAACAAGCCTAAATACACGTTGGCGACTATAGGTCTGTGCCACGATGAAGCTTCAATTGTTTCAGATTTAAAACCTCATTGCTACGAGCTCTAAAAGTCAACCTCTACACCTTAAGTCCTGCAATGCTAGATTAACATCTTACTAGATACATCTATTTGCATCAAGTGAGACACTAGAACCTTGAGACTTAAATTTCTCTTGTATGAATTATACAATTGATGAGAAAATGATTGTCGACATACAATCGATTCCAAGTTTATCCTGGCAATTGGATCATGTGTACCCACATAATACCCACATGAAAGCATTAGAAAACTTTCTTCTACAGAGATTGTAGAAATTTCAATAGAACTTTGTCTTTGCTAATGTATGCAAGGCAACAGATAGAGTCCCGTCAAACCTATCCCTGATCTTCATCTTGTTAACCAGTTCGTCAAATAATTCATCTGTAATATCTGGGAAAGCTCTTAATTCTAATTGGTCGAGTATATCCCCATAATGGTCTCTCTTTTGAAATCAATTGTGGTTTGGTTTTCTCTATTGCAGGTCCCACTTTTTCCCTTAATTCGGTAAAGGTAAACAAGAGAAGGCAACAGCACCATAGAAACAGTCAAAGAAACACAGCAACTGCACGAGAACGAAGCAACAAGTAGAATTCCCGTACTTTAGAACAGGACAAGAAGCATCGAGAGCAAAGATATTCCCCACATCAAATTACAGTTAAGAACGCATCGCTAAGCCGGAAGATGCAAAAACTGGCAATTACCTGAAAAGATGGTGAACTGGGTCAGGCTTCCCTTATGTGCACCATGTTCCGTACCCCGACCGGCCTGTTTGGCGGGCGCAAGGTGGTCACCGCAGCTAGGGTTTTCAACGGGCGAAGAGTTCGACTGGCCCAAGGAATCCCCAAGAAACGATTGCGTCCCAAAAGCGGCCCACCAAGGCGTGGCCGACGGAACCGAGGACAACTGTGCTGCGGGATTATGGAGCATTCCCTCATGTTCCTTGAGATACAGTGCTTGCATAGCCATAAAGCCACCCTCTCAAGTGATCCAAAACCCGTGTTTTGATTCTCAAAGCTAATTTCCTTCAAGCTATAGCCTGCAAATTGGAAAGATTGATGGAAATGTTCCAGTACAATGATGCCAATTCAAAGAGATGATTCTTACAAAAGACCTCGAAGGCCTTGATCTAACTCTATCAGACTCTTCATTCAAATTTGCAAAAGGGAAAATAAGAAAGCCAGAAGCGCAAGAAACAAGTGGCAAGTCCACAGAATAGCCGCCGCAACACCCAAAAGAAAAAAAAGAAGAAGAGAAATTTACAAGGACGGGGTCTACTAGAAGTAACAGTAGATCATCTTTACTGGACCAACACACAAAGATAGAGGGGGCAGAAGAGAAAAGAAAAGAGGAGGACAGCGATTCTACACTCGAATCTCAAATGGGTCGTCGTCAGATCAAGAGCCGAAGCTGATCATGCAGAAAGAAAGATCAAAGATGGGAGCTGAGGAAACACACCCCCCCCCCCAAGAAAGCACTGTTGAAGTGCTGAGAAAAGGAAAAAAAAAACATATGGGGGAAAGAAAATTACGCCCCGCACATTAGCTGGGAACTCAGGCGATGGAAGAAGTAGATATCACCATAGGAACCAACAGAGAAGGGAAGGCTGGAGACTATACAGAGACAAGAAAATTCAAGAACCCAACGACCGGTAAAAGCTTTTTACATAGCTCAATACCAAGAAAAGCCAGGGGAACAGAAAGAGAGAGACAGAGAGAAAGAGAGCTCACGCATATATAGCAAGAGATTCTAAAACGGGGGGATGAAGCAGCAGCAGCAGCTTTCAAGCCGAGAAACCCCATTTCTGCGGAGCCATGTCGGTACTATTTCAAGCAAGAAACAGAGAGAGGGAAGGAAGGAGAGAGAGAGAGAGAGAGAGAGAGAGAAGAAGGGACGGACACTGGGCGAGAGGCGGGGCTTGATAAATGCGTACAAAGGCAATGGCCAACTCCAACGCTGGCCAATGAGCTTCGCCTTCCATGTTTTTTTTCTTCTTTTCCACCCTTTTTCTCCCCTGGAAAAAATTATCCATGTCATATCAACTTGAATAAAATTTTCGGTCGAGATATCAAAATTACCATTGGGAATATAGCATAAAGAATTTTCCACGCGAACAACTTTTCAAGGGAAAATTCCAAATTAGAGCATAAAGTATCATCGTTTTTCTCAAATAAGAATCTAAAGTAGACCTTGTGTAAAATAAATATTTATAGTGGCCGTGTCAGTTTCAAATAAGGGCCTAAAATGGCCATGGCAATTTCAAATAAGGATTTGACCTCGCCGGCCGCTGGCAAGCCCTCGCTAAATCGGGCGAGATCGACCTCGCCCAGCCCTCCCTAGGCATTGTCGGTGGCCGGCCTCGGGCAATGGCCACCGGCGAAGAAGAAAGAAAAAACTAGAAAAAGGAAAAAATAAAGAAAAAAGGGGAAAAATAAATAAAGGGAAAAAATTCCCAAAAAATAAGATAAATGACGAAAATGCCCTTGACCGGCTAGAAAGTCTGGCCTTTTTTTTTAAATTGATATAACCACTTCATGTCGTTATTTAAAACAAAATCTATTTCAGGCCCTTATATGAGAAAATGAGAGCATTCCAAGCCTTTAGTTGAAACAAGGTCCACTTCAAACCCTTATTTGACATTTTCCCTAATTTTCGATGAACTTAGTCAATGAGCATCTCCAATCAATTAAACAAAATTTTATAACATGCACAATTAATATCTTGAAAATTGAAATATTTGTATTTCATATATTTTATCAATTGACTAGATGCAATTCGCCAACAAGACCTTTCTTAAGTCTCAAACGAAAATTGCTTCGTTATGAAAATTTTCTTTTAACATCCCTCTAAGTTAGAAAATTTATGCGGCTGAATGTTGCAGACCAAAGATAAATCCTTCTCTGGTTGTACGCTAATTCATCGACTCATGTTGTAGCACGCAAAATCAGGAGGCAGAAAAAAGGAGACATTTTTTTGTGCGAGTGCATGTGATTCCATTGCATTTCGGCCCTTGAATTAAGCGCGTCTCATATAGACCCACCAATATTAAAGATTTAAATATACGAGATTTGTATACATTCAGATTATTTAAGAGTTTTTTCCAAAAAAAATAATGGCGAAAAAAGAAAAAAGGACAGATGAGTTCCTTTCTCTGCGTCTCAATCTTCAATTCCAATCCGAGATTTTAGCCATCAACTACAATGTGTGTGCTTGGTTTTTCAACTGCGGATGTAGAAATGCTTTTTCCCCGACATAGCAAATCACCGAGGACAGTGACAATTCCCTTGCCATTTCTGCACTCATTTTGATGGATTGAAATCTCTCCTTGTGTTCTTTTGCCCCCACACACACACACAAAACAAAAGAAACAGCAAAATTTCCCGTGAGGGTTTGATCTAATTCGGAGCATGTTTCCTATAGATAGGACCGGAACGTAACTATACCGTCATGCGACTGTGCTTGCATAAGTTGGATCGAGCAGCAGCCGCCGATGTCAGTTGCTGAAGTTATGAAATGCAACCGCCACATAGGCACACGTTGCTAAGCACCATAAATGTTCATCAATAGATTACTTACTTTGGACCCACTTTGAAGTCCGCTCTTATTTATAATTCGATGTTCATCACCAGATTGCAATGTTGCCTTATCAAGGGATCTAGGCGTTGCGCCAAGTCCACCCCCTTTATGGCTTCATAAGTGCCCAGAGGAATTTACGGTTTCAGCCACATTCGCTGTTCCGGCATCTCCATGTTTGGTCGCTAGTCTTCGAACTCATCCAAGCGATTGCCGCGGTGATGCTAGTTCGAAGGTCAAAGTGGCGAGGCGTGGCAAACGAGGTGGAGGAGCATGCACGAGTAATGGGTAAAAAGAGGGAGAGGGAGAAGAGGGAGAGGCCTCATGTTAACTACAACTGCCGCAAGCATGGCGTATGATCCATAATTTGAAAAATTTTGTCATCCTAACTCCTCTACGTGCATATGGAGCCAAAATAAAGGTAAATCTTCTATCATTCGAAATGTACATGTACCATAAATTCAAAGGATAATTTTCATAAAAGTTACGTCAATCCTACTCCAATTTAGTACCCGCATGACCTACCCCTCCACCCCTCCAATCTTGACTCGAAGGAGACCAATCGATTATGGAAAAAGCTAGGACTTTTCCTCCCATCGAAGTTTTCAAGAATTGGGTCCTAGAATTTGAAGCTGCTCATCGTACAAAACATGGTCCAAACCCAAAAAGTTGCACCCCTCGTTCCTAGCTGGGGCATCTTCTGTACTTCAGATTTCGGAACCCCCAATTGAGTGAGTGGCGAGGACAATGCCAAATCTACTTCACCTTTGCGCTGTACAATAAACCATATGTCGTCAATCGATTTCCTTTTCCTTTTCGCCCTCTGCCCTTATTAGAAGATGGGATTGCTTTCTCACATTACCTTTTTCCGTGCCTTTGTCTTTTTATCGTATTGGAAGTTGGTTGGCGTGAGATACGCCCACTAAAAATGGAAGTGGCTGCCCAGAAAGGACATTAAACTGAAAAAACAATAGAAAAGAAAAGAAATAATTGCAAATCGAGATCATTATCTTCTCTGCCTTTTTAAATTCTGCGAAACCCACCTTTTTATCCACTATCAAAGAAACCCTAATTTGCTCCACTAGTCCATGCACGATGATATGAATGCTATGCGGCTGAGACTTGTTTGGAAATGCGATAAATTTTCTTTAAATTTGAGCATATGAATCATTGTTTGTGAAAATCATTGGATAAATTAAAACCCATAACTATGCGCTCTTCGAAAAAGATGGAGTACTAAATAGAGCATCTAGTTTTAATGAGAGTTTGGGATCTTCTGCGGCTTGCTTCACCAGCTGTTTATATTTCACAGCAACTTGTAATAATCAATTACTTGCAACTTGGTATTATCTTTGGGAAGATACCAACTCGATGGCTCCGGAACGCTTTCTAAATCTCGGTGAATATTCAGTGAATATTCACCGAGCTCTCAAGATCCGAATAAATGAATGTATATCATCAAACTGTTGACCAAAAACAGTCTCTGGTGTAATGGGTTGTTGTAAGATAAGCTAAGTCAACGGTTTGCCCCATTGGAGCCAGCTTGTAAATCAGAATGAATGCATTATTCCCACAACAATTTGTGCCCTTGAAACAACAATCTTGATAGACCTTGAAATTAGGGTTTTCTTAGCTTTACTTAGCCGGAACGCTTGAATGACATCACTAAGCAATTCCGTTTACGTTTCAATGGCTAATAATTGTAGATCCCAAAAGGGCACAATCTCAAATCACGGCCACCAAAAGAAAGATTTCAAAGTGAAAATGTCAAGAATGGAAGAGGGACCACAACAATTTTACCTGTCGAGCCTTTGGATGTATTATCATCAGATATTGATGCAAATTTATTTTTAATGTATGGTCGTTGTCATAAGGTAGGTCTATGGGTCGGCCAAAAAGAAGATGCTTTCATGGTGTGATTTTGTCTTTGCCTTTTGGGGGTGACTCAGGTGTGGAAAGGAGAGGGTATTGTTGAACACTGAGCAATTGGGAGTTCGAAAACCTCAAATGGCATTTCAGAGATCGATTTCGAGAAGTCCTCCTTTTGTTGTTCCTGCTAATTGAATAAGTGCTAATTAACTCCTTGTCATTTTGCATGTACGGATTAGTTGCGGCAAGACAACAAAATAAGGTTTCAGAGAAAGATCTCTACAGGAAAGTTAGAGCATATTCTGCTCGGCTGCCTTCCGATAGATATCCTCAAGCTTTGTTCGAGCGATTATGTAGCAATCCGTGGCAACAATTAATTACCTTCTAGTTGTGGATCATGTAGCGTTGACATTGTGGTTCGATGATAGTTAATCTTTATCTCTACACGTACCTAATGTCGTTTTCTCTAGCTTTCGATCTTTGATTGGCTTACTGCGTAACAGCTTAAACTAATAGGAAACGAGGTAAATGCCGGTTCCAACTATTGTCCCCTTAGATATTAGCAGCTCAAGGGAAAGCACATTGACCAGGAGAAAGGCGCAAAAGGAACTCGATCAGTAGGCCTTAAGCAAAGGATAACTCTTCTTGGAAGCATTTAGGAACCCTAAGATGGTCCCATAAGGCTTCCGATTCTTTGCAGGTTGAGAAATAGAGTTAGACCCTTTAACAAGGACTGTTCATCAGTCTCGAGTGACATTACCTGCCCATTTTTTGGCCCACGTCATTCATTTCTTCATTCCTAATGATTACCTTTCTCTCACTTAGGTAGGTGTGCAAAATATATTACCAATTGTTTGGGCCAACGTCAAAGAAAAACAGGAATATAGTTAGCTGCATAGTAGAAAGTTTGAAAACCTCCTTCTGTCCATTTTTCTAAGACATCAGTTAGCAGATCATGCAGAGTCAAGGACAGAAGAAGAAAATTGATGGTTGAGAACCCTCACAGCCAGAAGAAACTATTAGGTTAAGGCAATATTAAATCCCAGCGTACACATTGCAATGACAATAACTTCAAATATGACAGTTAACCAAATCATGTACTATGGAGTCCACTAGCGGCATTCCTAATTGTTATTGCCTTCAAAGCAGAAGGGAAAAGAATCACATTAGCGATTTCTAATTGCTGCAAGTGAGATCCACCACTGCAAAGTCTTAATTTGACAAATTCTTGAAAACGCAGAATGTCGATGTTGAGCTACGAAATATATTACGCATAGCTCTACATCTCCAGAGGTCGACAAAGACCTCTTGGAGATACTCGAGTTGTCTCATCCGAATACTAGGTAAGAGATTAGGAAGCGTATATTTGTACGCAGAGAGGGTAGATCTTGTCGCCTCGCAATCGAGAATACTGTCCCTCGGCTACTGGACACATCCCCGAGAGGAGACGAGGTTTCCTCTCCTTCCGGTTTCCGCCATCATCGTTGAGAGG